AAGAGATGGTGGGGCAGATCAACAGGATGCCAATGAAGCTCTGGCCATTCCCACTTGCTGAGGCTCTATGCCTGCCCTCACGTGGACTTACAGGGACAGCAAAACTGACAGGGAGTTCAGGGCAGAGGTCTCAAACTGGCCACTCAAGACCACTGATAGCTGCCTCTTTTGAAAATGTGGATCCTGATTCCACTTCTGTGACACCAGAGGCTGCTTGGGAAGTTACATCAGGGGAATTTGGCTGTTTGTAGAAGCAACCGAGAAATCATTCAAACAATGCGGTTACAAAAAAATGGAATCTCTACAACTAAACAACTGAAGTGACTTTGAAAAAAAAAATCAAATCCTACTTTGAAGCGATGCTTAATGTAAATGAATCACTTATTAGACAATGCAACAATCAGCTGCTATTCATTATCAAAAACAATACAAGAGGATCAGCAGAGAAGAGCCATGAGCTGGAGGGAGCCCTGCAGGAAATACTATGGGATTGGGACCAGCTTCTCTGTCTGTGCTGCCATTGTTGCCTGACAATGTCTTGCTAATAAATGTCCAAAATCATCTTGGTTAATAAACTTTGTCATCTTTTTCCAATCACAGAACAAATGGATAGAACCAGTGACCTTTGGACTGGAGCAGAAATCCTAGCTTGGATGAGGTGGAACCTTGCGTATTGAAGCCACACCTTGCAGAGGTACGAGAGAGTCTGGAAGCCTGATTCCCAGTTGGAGATTTCAGGTTCTGAGGAATCACTGAGCGCACATGTGTGCTGTAAATCCAGTGGCAAAATTCTTGGCTTCTGGTGGAAATCTGTGAAATTCTACCATAGCTTCAGATGTATTTAAAACGTCAAGTGCATCCTGGATTCAGTATTTAAGGGAGCAATACGGTCAGCGCAGGAGCTCCCGTGTTATTTATTTTTAAGTCCATTGACTTTATTCCAGGCAGTCCCTGCATGGTCACTTTTCAACGTGTCACTGCTGTACTGACAATGGCTAATGGCACCTCAGGATTTAGTGGGGAGGCAGGAAGTGGATTAGAAGATGTTTGAGGCTTTCAGCAGTGGGAAAGGAGCGTGAGCCAGTTTGGAGGCCAAGCTCTCAGCAGAAGCGTCTAGCTGAATGGAACAACAGTGAAAGTGTTAACCGCGTAAGCATTAATTTGTTCCCTTTCTGTTTCAGAAGTAATAACCCACAGGGACAAGGAAGGCAGTTTAAACCTCTCAGACATGCTATTTCACACCTGAGTTGGCCAAGAGCATACAGCACTGCACTCATTGTGCTCCTGTCACCTTTCTTGGCCATCTTTACCATGAGGAGGGCGAGATACTTTTTCAACAAAAGGAGATTCTGGAGCAGAAATCTGCAACAAGGGCTGAATTCTGTGGCAAACTCAGTGGCTACAGAATAGGTGGGGTCCTAGCCCAAGCTCTATAAACTTGTTAAACTTTACTGCACTCTCTATAAAATCATTTTAATAGTTCAAAAATATGCCAGTGCAGAGAGCTTGATACTGCACCACATCCTTCAGGTCTCACTGAGACAAAAACCTCATCAAACAATGCCTGATGTGGCCCAACTTTGACTAAGCCTTGGTGCCATGTGAAAGCTCTTTGATGGTTCTCATATAATATGAATGTGGGCGGGGAGGGAAGGTCCTCCATTCACTGATCTCTGATGGACAATGGTCCACATCACAGAAACACATTAGTCCCATTGGCTTTAAGTGGCAATCCTTTGGCAGTCTCTAATAGAAGATGAAGATCCTAGGGAGCCTTTTGAAAAGAGAACAATGTTAATTAGTATAATTAGTACTATTATACTAAGCTATGATTATGAGAGTAATATTAATAATATCATACCAGTATATAGCATGAGGATGTTAATCTACCACAGGGAAACCTGGAGAAGGAACCACCTTAATTAGGCCCCCTCCTTGTTTTACTACCTTGCTCCAAAGTACCCCAAAATGCACCTAGTAAAATCCTGCTTCTCCCTGCTCTGGTAAGGAAATTATTTTTGTTGGTCCCTTGAGTTGTTGCTTAAGGCAGGTTTCACTGTAATTACATACCTCACAGCAGTGCAGGGAGACTTAATTAAGAGACTTACTGTAGGTGCATTGTCAGACAGAAACAATGCAGCTCTTTTGGCTAAGGCACCTGGTCTGATTGTGATGGGCATGTTAACTAGATAATTAAAGTTGGAAAAGTACCTTATGATCATCATGCAACAAACAGCCAGGACACAACACGCAGGGTTTATTCAGAACCCTGGCCTCCATCAGGAAGCTTGCATTTTGAAAAGTCTTGCTGTCCCCATCAGGAGACATGCTGCAAGATCGTATTTTGGTAGAAGAGTGTGACTCACCAGCTTCAAACTGTGACATTTCATTCCTGAACTATTCTCGGAGCAGCTGGCTCCACAAGGCAGGGAGAGGTGGGGAAGGGGTAGGGAGAGAAAGAGAGCCAGACTGAAAACTGAGAACTACTCATTCTCTCCTCCACAGGTATGTGGCTTTCATGTTCACCACCATGTAATTTGGAGCAATCTGGTAAATACCATGGGGAGGAGAAACATAAAATCCTGTTTCATAAAATCTGTATGAGCCAGGGCTAAAAAATAAGTCACTCTTAGGCAGAATGTAGTTTGGCTTGATCTCTGAACCCCAAGGAAGAAAGCAAGGAAACTTGCTGCTCTCCAAAATTCAGATGCTGCAACTCTGGGCTCCCTTTTCAGAGTCCCCACATGATGCAGATGCAATACTTAGTCCTCAGCTGCATCCAGCTGATGCCATGAGAAGTCAGGGAGGGAGGAAAGCGCTCCCTGAGCCTAGGGGAAGTTCTATGCGTCATCTGGCAAGGCTTCAGTGTAAGCATGGTGTCATAGTCATAAACAGCATGCTGCATGTGAGCTTGGTGCTTCGCAGCAGTGTGGGCTGGTCATCGCTGTCACCAGCTCTGTGCCAGTGGCATATTGGTGACATGGGCATCATCGCTCCTGACCTCAAACTCTATGAATCAGTGAGTCCCTGGGCACACAGACATGCTTGTTCATGCTTGTAAAGTGCTCAGGTCCCGCAGCTGTGGGCAAATGCAGCACCATTGCCATGGGTACATGGCAGGTTTGCAGCACAGGCGGATCAGCAATACACCAGGTCACTGGGACAGCAGCTGCAGGCACCAGGTGAGTGGCGTGAGCTTGTCTGTGTGCAGGCAACTTCACTACTGCATGTCACAGAGGGAAAAACTTTGAAGCAGTCTTGAATAGGGCCTGGCAAGGTGGTTCTATACTGTGTCTAGTACCCCAGGCCCGGTGGGGCAGGGGACCTGGCATATGTTGGAGACTGCTGTCACCAAGGATGACGGCACAACCCCACACACTGCCTCCCGCTGTACAGCCAGCCAGCCAGGCAGGGATTTCATGCAGCCCCAGATTCCTGCATAAAATAGAATGCTGTTTTTGTGGAGGTTTCTACACAGCCCATCTCCAGAGCTCTGTATGGCAGTGTCTGTCCCATCCCAACCCCTTACCTGACAGAAGCCTTACTGAAAGCAATGCTCATTCAAAGTAGCGGACTAAGCCTGGCTGCTCCGAATGATGCGGTATGTAGGAGCCTCACCAATGACCTTGGGTAGGTAATGACCGCCTGAATACAAAAGATGGATATAAAAGGACCAGCCCCCTCTTTTACAGTCTCCTGCTCAGGGAGGGAAACACGATGACTTGTTAAATCAGTGGTTCTGTCAGGGCTGAGGGTTTTTTGTTTTTTTTTAACTTCCCAAAACGTCCTTCAGCAACAGAGAAGGGGGTGGGGATTTGCTCTTTGAAGCCATTTCCTTGTGGGAATAGGAAACACGGAAAGAATTCAATTCCCCACCACAGCCAAACACCACTGATACATGCTTCAAAAAAACCTGAGACTGAAAGGCAGGCTCGCTGGTGGGCGTGGGTGGCTGCTAATTTACAGCAGCATCAGATTATGTCTGTCCACTATCTAGCATCAGTAAGTGTCCTCCCGGCATGTTAGAACAGAGAAGGGAAAGGGGGAGGAAGAGAGACAAGAGGAAGGGAAATCGGGAAAGGCTGAACAGAAAGGAGTTGCGGCAATTCAAATCTTTGATCAAAAGTGCCATCGAGCGGAGAAGCAGGGCACTGCAGTTTAACCTGCCTTTGGTGAGGTTGCTGCATACACAGCAAATGAAATCTGGCTTTCTAGTGTCTCTCAGAGGGTTTACACCACGATTGAGTCCCCCCAGAACCCAACAGCTATACCAATGCAGCAGCTTCTCAGAGATGAGAAAAACATGCATAATAAGTGAATACAAATCTTCATCGATACTGTAAGATGCCAGCACCTTCTACTGGAGAAGCACAAAACACCTTAAAAACAATAAGGGATTAGGCATCACAGGAAGAGCATCAGCTCCATTTAGGAAGTGGGGAAACTAAGGAAGAGAGACAGTGGCTGAGTGACCTGCCCAAGGTCACACAGGAAGCGTGAGGCAGATCCGGGAATAGAACCCCAGAGATGCTGAGTCCTGAACAATACCTCATTCTTTCTCTCTTTTGATTTAAGAGGTTTCTTAACCCTTTAGGATCCTGCCAGAGAATCCTCTCTAAATACCTCCTCCACTGAGATGAGACTGCCAAGGACAATAACAGAAGTGGGAAGGATGGTATTTCTATAGCTCCAGAGGGGTGTGCGATGCCTTCCAGGCACAGCTCTTTCTCTATAGTTGGTTTCATAATCTAACACAGAGGGTGAGTGAGCCACAGAAATGCATGCAGTTTGGTTTGCTTACATGTGACATTGCTGAATCAACAAGAGCAGCATCCTATTAAGGTGGACCCAGCATCCTACATAGCATCCCCAAGTGGGACCCTTGGCAATCGCAGCACCTAGTTTTAGTGCTTGGGAAATGTGGGCCTTGACTTCTCTGCATGCCTGTCTCTCCCTCCCTGTGGTGGGAATAGCACTGCTTCTTGGGGCTGCTGAGCAGATAAATTAAAATATTTACCAAGTGCTTGGAGATCTTCAGCTGAAAGGTGCAAGAGGAAATAAAAACACCTCATCCCTGACCTTGACTTTGGAGTCAACAGCAGAATGTGGGTTTGCAGAAAGGGAACATGGCAGGAACACAACCCAGCAGAAGCCCTGTTGCTTTCCCTTGTCCACTGTCCAGTACAGGGGCTGCAGAAAACTAATAAAATAATTCTGGAATGAGGAGCTCAGAAACCAACCACTTTAAAAGGAGAACAAGACAGAAACACAGCCCATAGCTGGAGAATTCATAACAGTCACAGAGGAACAGACTTCTGTGCAAGAAAATCTGTAACGGCTGCAGCTGGGGAGGGGAGTTCTTCAGTCACAACTCCTGAATCAAGCAGATCTTGCCTTAGTTCCAAACCCGACTGCCCTTGGGAGCAGTCTCAGGACATCCTGGGTGGCCCCACTGTCCTGGAGAGGTGCCATGCACACTTTTGCTCAGGGCAGGGCTGCAGGAGCAAGGAGATGAGGAAGGCATCCAGAGGCTGACAGTTCCACCAGGTCCATGGACTGAATTCTTCTCATTCCATCTTTCTCCCCCCACCAGCTGCTTCTGAATTCCTTTTTCATCCATTCATTCCCATAAGGCCAAGCTATGCAGGCAGAGGGGAGGAGAGCCTCTGTCTTACATCAGAGGCTGTGATTAGAGATGTTCTTCTCACACCCCAGCCTTTTCAAGTTTTACATTTTTTAGCTTAAGGCACCACAAACACTGGAACTTTCAGGCCAGACTCAGTCAAGACCCCTTTCCCAGGGGAAGACTTTCGGGCAGGGCTGGACCACAGCTGCTTATAGGAACAGTCTCATGCTCTTAGGGGAGGCTGCCAAGGCATTTATTAAAGGAGAAGCCATATCTTATGCTCCTGCTAAAAGGGACACAGGAAAAAAAAGATGACTAAGAGACTGGAAGAAGCAGAGCACAAAATTACTGTGCCAGAGTCAGGTTAAAAGGCTGTGTCTCAAGGCTCAGTGATGCTTGCAATGGTTTAGACATCATCAGACTGATTACAACTAGTGCCTTGCTCCAAAAAACAGAGAAATGGGACTGCTCTCTTATTTTTATTGACACCTTCTCTCAGGATAGGGGGAGAAGTTTGCTAGTGAAACACTGAAAGGCTAGAAGAATTCCAGCTCTTCATGATTCTGGAGGGTCTAAGGATCCAAAACACAATAATCAAAATTACCTGGGGAGTTCTTTTAAAAGAAGAACCTAAGACTTGCTGCCAAATTACAGCCATGTGTTCCCCAAGACAGAAATCCTGGTTACAAGGGCTGAAGGCTCCACACCTCTGGAGTGCAGTATCAGTATATTCCATCAGAGATAAGTTTAGCCTGATTCAATGTTCATCCCTGAACAACTGATTCAGTGAAATCAATGGCCTTGTGTATTACTGTATTTTGTTGAGGTTCCATCTCTAACTAAACACCATCTAAATGCAGCCTTTAATCCTTGGAACGTTACCGCAAAAGCCACCATAAGGCAGATCCAGATGGCCACGGTGCCTCCAGGGGCTACTGGGTTTCAGACTGACTTTGCCAAGCACCTGGAGAGAAGGGAGGCAGTGGTGCAGTGGTGACTATTGCCAATTCAGGGAAGTAGGCAGGCATCTGTAATACAAGTTACCATGGGAGACTGGAAGTAATTAACTTTCAGACAGATGCTCACTAGCTTCTGGGAACGGACCTGGAGTAAGAGTGGCTGCCACCAATCCTGCCTTGGCTTGGTGGGAAAGATGGATTAGAGATGCATCTTTGCCAGCCCTGTATTTCGGAGCCTGTAACAGGCATTGCTTCTAGTGCTGTTACCAGGACATACAATGGGGTTGTTCTGCTGAAAAGTTGGTTTGCCATTTCATGTGTATACGATCCTTGTTATGCTATTCATCGTTTTCTTTCATCTTGAGGAGAGAGGTATCCATCACTGAGGCAGGAAAGCAGGAGGTCTCATTAGATAAGTAGGGCCATACATTGTAGGATCAATCTTAGTTTCTTTCCTCCCGAGTTTTATTTCCTTAGTAATGGCGGACAACCCCTAAGTGAAACCCACATCACCAGTGCATCTGCTTGGTCAGTAGGCAGGAAGAGAAAAAAGTCATCATATGTAATCTGCCTTTCAAATAGCTGTGGCCAAGAGTCTCTGTCTCCCTGTTGTTCATAGGGATACACCCCTACGGTTAGCAGCTTTGCCTCTGTATGGCGCCAGCATGTCCTAACAGTCTGTGCAGATGATATACTTGCCCCAGTGCAACTCAGGCAAACCAGAAGTTCATAGGCCCATTTGATCTCACAGGTCTAGAGAGGAGAAATGGAGACTTGGGAGGGAAATGCTTCCAAAAATGTTGCAATTTAACATTTGTTTTAAAACCCAAGCCCAATATGGTGCTATTGATTGTGAAGGATCAATGATTCCCACTCAGGGAACAAGGATAGGCAGACTGAGCAACAAGGTTTTCCTCTCTGCCAACACCCCTCAAGCCTACTCCGCCACTCCCGTTACTCCAGTTCTGGGCTCCCCCATAGCGGCCAATGACCAGCAGTCCCCTTCCCTACTCCATCCAGCTCCAGGAAGCAGCCCAGTCCTTCTCTGAAGTACACTCTTTCATGTGGGTCCCAGATGTCCCCAAACAGCTCTGCCCATGCATCTCACTCCAACA